CTTTCTTAGAGTTGATATGAACTTACACTGAATGTTCGCTGGACGAACAGATTAGTTGATGACAATATTAATTTTGCTACAGTTACTACTGGCAGCTGATATAAATAATTGTAATTTATTATAATTAATTGTAATTATTTATATACATTTCCCATTTTAGCTAATTTGCTACATTACCTAATAATGGATACTGGCAAACAACATGCAACAATTGGATGCAGCAACAATTGCACTAGAAAAAAAAGTTTCATCAGAAACTTCTTAAAAGTTGTCAGGAAACTATTTAAAACTGCTACGATGTTCTCAAAACAAGGTTTAGGCACATGCATCAACTTCTAAAAGCAACTATTACATTAATATTTGTGACCCTAGACCCTAGAAATGTCATAAGGGTAAATTTTTTTAAATTGAGATTTACACATCATCTGAAAGCAGAATAAATAAGCTTTTCATTGATGTATGGATATTGTTAGGATAGGACAATATTTGGCTGAGATACAACTACTTGAAAATCTGGAATCTCAGGGTGCAAAACAATCGAAATATTGAGAAAATCGCCTTCAATGTTGTTCAAATTAAGTTCTTAGCAATGGATATTACTAATCACAAATTAAGTTTTGATATATTTACGGTAGGAAATTTACAAAATATCTTCATGGAACATGATCTTTACTTAATATCCTAATGATTTTTGGCATAAAAGAAACATCGATAATTTTGACCCATGCAATGTGTTCTTGGCTATTGCTACAAATATACTCGGACTACTTATGACTGGTTTTGTGGTCCAGGGTCACATTTATGTGACCACATTACTTTGAGAGCCACATTCAATCCTTAACTCATAGTTAGCAGTGATATGAATTGAGTCAAGATGTTTTTAAATCGCCTGCTGTCATCCACAGGGCTCCAATTTCTACTGCAATCCAGCTGGCTTAAAGCTTCAGGTCCCGAATGGATATGACAGGAAAGTAATTAAACAACTTTTCTGTGATTTTTTTTTATCCCTAGATGCTTCCAGTGACCAAATTATAAAATCATACCAAAGGGGTTTTTGAAAAGATAAATATTAGCCATATAATTTTCAGTGTTGTGCTTAGTCAGAAGTCCCAAAGCATGTCTTACCTGCTTATGTTGAATGCAGTGCCTCCAGCTGTGAGGAGGGGAATAACAGCATAAAACGGGGAGTGCAGCTCCAGGGACCCAGATTGTTGAGGAATTTTCTCTCTTCTATCACTCTGTCCATGAAAGGTTATGTCCTCACTTGTGTATATCAAGCTCACAGCTCACTGGAGAACTGTGTCCACCCGTGGCAGAATATGATGAGGAGGCTGATAAGGAATAAAGTGGCAGAAAAGGAGCACAGACTTCTGCACTCTGCCATGCTCCAGTTGCTCTTTAGTGTTGTGATCCACTCGGTGTTAAGACTCTTTCTTCCTTCATCTCTCTCTCTCTCTCCTCTCGATGTCCCTTACTCCTTTTCCATATCTGCAGCTGTATTTAACCATCAGAGTAAATCTGTGAATCACGGTTGGCAGTAACGTTAGATGTGCTACATTTGCATCATTTCTTCGCTCTTAAAGGTTATCCCCAAAATGAAAAGTCTGTTTACTCACTATCATGGATGGGAAAATGTTACTGATCAGAACTTATGTCAATGAACATAACCATACCGATCAGTTTTCCTGACGACATTTCAGCAGCCATGTCATGTTCTATCAGCTGTTTAGAATCAAAACTATAGCGATGGCAGAATCAAGAAAAAAATTACGCTTTTTGGTCAAATGGGTGTACACAAAGGTCTGAAAACATTTGAGATTCAGTTTGATTTTGATTCTCACAATGCGCATAGACTACAGCTTGTGAATGACTCTGTACTCCTCTCTCTCTCTATATATATACTGTATATAAAAATTTGGGGACAATTTTCTGACGGGGGCCTGTGCCCCTGGCATCAGCCAGATTTATTTATTTATTTATAACCAAGCATTCTCTCTATATTTCTTTCTACAACTTAAATATATACAACATAAATGCACAAATCACTAAATCCCGATTCATTGCACAATCTGCAGTATTTTATTTAATTAAATTTATTTTTTTTACATCCGAGTGTTTTTTTTTTTTTTTTTTTTCAAATAACTGAGCAAAGAGGTGCTCACTGTGTGTATTTTTTAAAGTTCCAGTACAGTTGTTGTGGCAGTTTTCTGTCCTACTTCTTTCTGAAAACACTAGAAAGAAAGAAAAAAACGCCTAAATTAAATTAATTAGAACATAACACAATATGATATAGGCCTACTGTACCAGTGTGCAGAGCATGTGCAGGGCTATATTATCTATAGCCATGTTAGCTATATTGTTTTGCGCTGCCCATTTATCAAGACAAAAGGTAATAAAAATAAATAACTTAATAAAAATAAAAAAACACCGCATATATTCGTGCGCGCATGGGCAGGCGATACATTCTTACATAAACGCGTCTCACTAGCTTTTCTTTCGTTTGTTACTGTGCGACTTCCAAAAACAACTCATCTTTTTCTGCGAGAAGGAGGTTATTGGGTAGCTACTCCAAACGACAGCGAGCACTTAATCGCTTCAGGATGGATCTTCACGTCGAGGAAATTTTGTCGTGCACGTCTACGTATGATCACGTGATTCGTTTTGGAACCTAAGCTAATTTATCGGAGATCTTACCTAGAACTTAAACTTAATTAACTCTATTAATCTCTAAGAGTTAACTCTATTAATTAACTCTATTAACTCTAAACTCTATTAATTGGATATTTTCATGGTTGTTGTAGATTAACAAATTTTTAGAACAATTAATGAAATATGAATGAAACACATAAAGCAATATTTGAAAGTTTTATTCACAATATAAACATTACTTTTGTTACTATTATTTGTCTACATTCCAACTTAAATTTAAATATGTGCATATTATGTTCTGTACTGTTACTTTTATCGTGCCTTTTTATTGTTTTTTTGTTTGTTTTGTGCTTTGCAGCATACCATCCACATTCATTGTGTGAGCAGCATACATCCTGCCGAACAACTCTTTTTATTGTCTGTGGAAGAAAGAAAATTATACTGATTTGGAACAACATGAGGGTGAGTAAATGAAAGAAACTGGATGAAGTGTCCCTTTAAAATGCATTTTAGTCTAAACCGCTAATTTTAAACTAACCTTGATTCATAATCCCTATCCTTCAATAACCCCAGAGTTGGGTACACTGCACTAAATGTAGCATGGCTAATAACAGCTATCTCAGCCTAACAAAGACCTTGATATGGTTTCTCTTTTGCCTGTCATATTTGATAAACAAATGCCATAATTATACAGTGACTGGCACTTCAACACATGAAACGATTGCTTTAGAAATGGGTCAGACAGCTTACTGTGCAATAATTTAGCATTTAACTTCCTCTGGACTTGCTTGTTAAGCTGGCTAGATGTTTCTGAGGCTAGACAACTTTGGTGCTTTAGTTTTTGAAAGGCATCTACATAGCTTATAGCGAACAATGGCAAGATAATTGAATGATATTGTTAACATTGTCTGGGAAAATAATAGTTTAATTTTAGAAGTAGACTGTGTTATTCTTGCAATAGAGTGGGAATGATGCCAGATATGGCTGATTTAATTTATACTCTAGCCTAAATGAACATGAAGGTCAAAAAAAGTGGATTTATAATTATCACACGGTTAAATCGACTGTGTTGTTGCTGACAGTTTACATTGTCCCAAAAGCCATTAACTCAAATTAACTTTTTGCACACAACAGAATTAATCTCTTCATCCTCATAATGTTCTTCCAAACAACAGCAACAAAAAAGTTCATACTGTATTATGCATTCCTGCATAGAAACATGGCAAAACAACTTATTACATCAAATAATTGACCATTTAGCCCTGTGATGTCTTCTCAGAGCCAGGGGAGAATTTACTAAAGGTAGATTGCAGAAAATTGTTTTTAAAGTGCCAAACAAACTCAGCAGGGGAGGGCTTTTATTTATTTTCACTTATTTATATATTTGTTTAATGGGTGAATTCTCTTGAGCACTGCAGTAGGGATGCATTACAGCATTATCTAAATACTAATCAATGTAGCCTGTCAAACTCTGGAAGATTATAAATTACAACTTTTAGATGTAATTCATTTTTAAATAAAATAGTCTTGAGACTAATTTAATCTCTAAGTTTCACAAGCCTTTTCATTTGTTAGTGTTATTGTTGCAGAGAAATATTAATAAAGAACTCTTACGATGGCATTTTCCACAAGAAACTGCATTTAAACAGACTGTTAATGCTGCACAGAGCAGCCATACATGCATGTACACAAGAACTACAATTGCAGAAATGATTCTGTAAAATTAATATTTAAAAATATGAATATAGAAACTAGGAAGTTATAAATAAAATGTGAAATAATAAAAATAATATATACTGTCATAAAAATGACAGTTTAGGGCTGCATTTCAAGATTAAAGAGAGCTTTATTGTTACACCAGTCATATACCAGTCCTTTAAAGTCCTGTGGTGGTAAATTGACTCAACATAGAGAGATAAAGTGCAAGCATCAAGACAAGAATGAACATAAGGTGCTTGAATCAACAGCAAACAATTAAAACAATTGTCAATTTAAAATACACAGAAGCAAAGCAGCACAGGTCAGAACTGTTGTATTTAGTACAGCTTTTATCTTATTAGAATTGTTTGCATAAAAAAAAAAAAAAAAATTGTAAATTTAATTTACACAGAAGCAAAACGGCACGTATCAGAGACTGTGTATTTAGTACGGCTTTCATCTTGAGAATTGTTAGAATTCTGTAATTATATTTGCTTTCACATAAACCTTTGAACCGATTTGGGCATATGAAGACAAAAGTCTTGACACGCACTTGTAATGAGGTTAGATGAGCTGATTGTGATTGTGTATGTTGTATTATTCTGTATGCAAGGGCAGTGTGACTCTCATCATCGGTGCACCTGTTTTTCAGAATCGCTACCATGAAACCCCAGTGTGAGAGCTTTGGGGTCAAAATAAATTAGCGCCAGTGATTCTGAAACCTTGCAGATTGGTGAAAGGGATGTCAGGTAGTCCAGATGGTGTTTTCAGCGGAAGGTGTGCCGACAGAATCAACCCACCCTGCTTTTCAGAAATACCTGGAAGTGTGAGGCTGGTAACAAGCAATTGTAAAGGCTCCTGGAGAAAGAAATAATATGAATCAATGCCAGTCAACAGCAGACTGAACTCTAGCGACCCATGTGAGAGGAGAGAAGCTCTGGAGAAAGAGATCCCATTAATTACAAAGCAATATGGTGGATCCTATATGGTTCTGCTTGAGTTTCTCTCTGTATCTGATGGAGGAACCTTAATATGTCGTGCTGGGTGATAAAAATTGTAAATAGAACTGTACCCTGTATTCGATAGCAGTCAGCATGTGCTGGTCTGCAGGGGCTGCCTGAGGGAATGAGCAATTTCAGGCTCCAGAGCAGCGGTGTGGAGGGAGACCCGCTCATGTGCGCAGAATGTGGATGATATCTCTTGGAGAGAGACACCATCTGATGTAGCGGTATTGTATGTCCCTGTCCTGGAAAGATAGATGGATGTAGAGATGTACACATTGATAAAATGATATAATTAAAAATTGTGTATTTGGGAAATCTGGGATGTTTTTGAAAAGAAAAAAATATATATCTTATGCTTACCACGGCTGCATTTATTTAATCAAAAATATATAAATAAATAAATAATAATAATAATAATGTAAAATAGCATATTTTAAAATTATTTTACAGTTTAAAATAACTAACTCAAAATGTGTTTTATTCCTGTGATGGCAAAGCTGAATTTTTTTATATGCTGATTTAGAGCTCAATGAACATTCCTTATGATCATTTTCCTAAATGGTTGTGCTGCTTAATATTTTTGTGGAAACCAAATGTGATACTTTATATTTATCAAAACATCCTGATAAATAAATAAATAACAACTTATGCAACCTTGCAGAATAAAACAATACTTAATAAATAAATAAATAAATAAATAAATAAATAAATAAATAAATCTCACTGACCCCAAATGGTACAGTAGAAAGTACAGTAGATGATAGATAGATATAGATAAAAAAAGAAAATCATTTAATAAAAATGTTTAATTTGATATATAATTTGATATATATACTGTATATATATATATATATATATACACACACACACACACACACAAACATTACTCTCTCTCTCTCTCACTTAATCTCACTCTCTATCTTAAAAGTGGCAGCTGCTTGAAGCTAGTTCCAACTGCAGGTATACCTGAACGCTAACATCTTTGGAGTGAACCCTGGGCATTTCTGCCTCTGTGACACGGAATGTTTAGCCATTTATACATGATTTCCTTAAATTGCTTTCTTTTAAATGGCAGAATATATGCAAGTGGCACACATAATTGCAGCGATGTGATTAGTCTCCTTTCTAGAGGTGTGCAAATGAAGATGAATGTGCATTTCTCTAGTGCTAATGGCAGACTAAAATGGAAGGGGATACAGGGTTAAGAGCAAGGTGAGTGGCAGCATTCTGAGAGGAAACAGCCTAGTGATGAAAGTAAGAAATGGGCCACACTCACAGTGGGGAAGTGGAGGAGACAACCAGTTTACAGCTCACACTTCAGACATGAGATAGATTGACGTGCACTGGTGTAAGTCAGTGGTATAACACATTCTTTCCAAGGACATCGTTGTGTGAAGAAGCAGAGTGGCAGATACTAATCCTGTCAAACCACCATGGCGAGAAGTTTTTAGTTGGTTTGTTGACTCAACTAAATCTCTCTCAAAGGTATATAAGACCCTTAGCAGTGACGGAGCGTCTTGTTATATCTTCTAAAATAGTCCAGGCTCCTGAAAATGTCTTATGACAGGAACTAAACATCAAGGGAATACTGATATTTGAAGAAGTACGAAAATACCCTAAATACTGATAAAATGAGTTTTTTCTTCTGTGAGAGCTTGAATGCAGATGCCCGAGATGCTATGATTGACACAAGATGTTAAATCACAGAGATCGATGTAACGGCATGTCTATTTACGACTGCCATTATCCGTTTTTTTTTTACCAGACCTAGGGAATATTGACCATGACAATCACAGTCTTTCTACCATTGAAGCGAAATGAGAACCTTGACCTCAACCTTTCAGACAAAGACCACTTTGTCATCTCCTGTTACTGTTGTCATGGCCACCATGGCTTTGGGGGGCTTGGTTTCTCCACTGAATGGTCCATAAATCTAGCGAGCGAGGAGGGTTGCTGGTTCGGTGGGCTCTGGTGGAGATGAAGAATAGCGCCGCTGAGATTGATGGAAAGCAACTTGATTAGTGGACAAGAGGTGATTAAAAAGCTTGCAGAGAAATGAAAAGGACTCCCAGGGGAAGTGGACGGAGGATTCTGAGCTTTGGTATTATTAAGCAATATATTTGTCTTCTCATGTGCAAGCAGAAATGTGCTAGCCTCTTCAATATGCTAATGCCGTCTCATAATCAAATGCAAAATATGAGTATTTTCTGCAGCAGAAATATTGTTTTCATGATTCTCTGCGTTTGCATGCGTGCAGCAAACATGCTGACATATTCTGAATATAAAAAAGAGCAAAGAATAGCGACGGGTTCTCTAGCTTTGAAGGATATGGGTTGGGATTACTCGTGCATGACCAGTCTAATCTCTAATAACGTACTGCGCTCTCTATAGTGTGAGGTTGTGTGCATATGGTAAAATTATAGGGATTTGTGGCCCAATCTGGAGTGTGCTCTACCTAAAAGAAATGCATTTGATGTTTAAGTTTGCAGATGCAGTTTATTTCCTTCCTCACCATGTTGCTTAAAGTGATAGTTCACCCAAAAATGAAAATTCTGTCATTATTTACTCACCCTCATGTGGTTCAACTATAATTTTATGAAGCTACGAAAATACTTTTTGTGTGCAAAGAAAGCATGCGCGTCAAAGACTGACAAAGACTGACTCCCTGGGATAGTTCACCCAAAAATGAAAATTCTGTTATCATTTATTCACCCTTATGACATTCCAAACTCTTTCAGCAGTTTTTGAAAGTCAGTGGAGTCCAACATTTTATGGAGAGAAAGGAAAAAAGGAAGGGAAAAAATCTATAGTAGAGGCTGAGTAAACCAAGTCTCATAGAGTGAGGCTGAGTAAACAATCATAGAATTTTCATTTTTGGGTGAACTGCCCCTTTAAGCACATACTGGCATCTCGCCAGACATGCTGCCCTCTTTATAAGGAAAATCAGAGTCAATTGCACGGAATATTTTTATGTGACCAGCTTCCCAAAACACTTTCTCCCTATTAAAGGAAAACGGCCTGATTTTGTGATGGTGATGAGTCCACTGGTCCATTTTACCCTTCTAACATATAAAATGGCGAACTGTAGTACATGGAGTGCTTTTGCTGTTTGATCATGCATTTTTTATTTTTTAGGTGTGTTGATGCCCTCTGGGGGAAAACACAACACATTGTTTTAATCTGTAGGCTTAAATCTTAAAGTGAGGCTTCAAATAAATTGAGTAACACTTGTTTTGAATGTACTTGGCACTAGATCACAGTTCGTGTAATAATAACAAATACTGTATAAAATTGCAGAAAAAACATTTGAAGCCATTTCTGCAAAGTCATGAAATTTGAAATTTGATCACAATTTGATATCCATTTTATTTTTCAGTGTTGGAAGCAAGCTATTTTCCTGTAAATGTGCTAGACTTTCAATTTATCAGTGGCTGTAAGTAAATACCTAAAAGAACATGAAGACTATATATTAAACTAAAATAAAACGATAACAAATACCAGTTTGTGACATCAAGCAGCATAATGTTTTTGTACAGCTAAAAGTAACTGGAAGCAGCTGACACCAGAAACCTCGCACATTCAAGTAAAAAAAGGCAGCCCCCCATCTTACGTTAAAAATAAGTTGAATAGATACATACTTTTTCATGTTTTTATTGAACATTCATTGTCAGCCTTCACAGTATACAATGGAAAAAAAAACATGAACCTTTGGATTTAATGGACTGGTTGACTCTCGTTTGGCAGCAATGACCTCCACTGAATGTTTCCTATAATTGTGGATCAGAACAATTTTACACTCATTTATAACGGTTGCATTTTCAGCAGTATTCTTGGCTTGTCAGGTGAATATCGCTCTCTTGAGGTCATGCCAAAGCATCTCAGTTGTTAAAGACTCCAGAAGGTGCATTTCCCGTACTGAAGATGTTCTGTTGTTGATTTACGCCATTATTTGAGTCGTTCTCCTGTTGCAACACCTCAACTTCTGTTGAGCTTAAATTGGAGGACAAATGGCTTTACATTCTCCTGAAAAATGTCCCAATAAACTTGGGATCCAGCTCTCTAGACCATGAGGCAGTAAAACAGAGCCAATGCGTAGCATTTTGTGTATTTTCCCATTCAACTCAACTTTGTTTTATCTGTCCAGAGCAAAGTATCATTGTATAATAATCCAACCGCAGTGGCTTCCTCAGTGATTTTGTTCTTGTAACACCATTCTTTAGCATCAACAGAGATGTCTTTGACAATCTAAGTGACTCTGCGCTGTAATCTTGCAGTCATCTTGGCAGGACATAAACTGGCAGCAGTGCTGAACTTTGTTCATTTATAGATGATTTGCCTTACACTGAACTGATGAACATCAAGTCATTTAGAGATTATTTAATCTTAAGTGATCTGAGCTCTCTTTTGTTCTAGCCAAGGAACTATAATCTCCGATCTTATTGATTGGACTCGAGGTTAGCTTACTCCTGACTCCAGTTATAGCTGTTGGAGAAGTCAATAGCCTTAGGATTTACTCACATTTTTACATGGTGTGTTCAGTAAAGACAATAAAAACCTATTTTTTGTTTGTTTGCTATTTGGTTAAGCTGACTATGGCAACAATTCTCTGAAAGATTCTACCAGGAATACACACACCTGTCATTGTACAATGATGTGAAATAATTGTAGTGTTATGCAGCAGTGTATTTCTCCAGCAAATGCATAAAGACGAGACTGCGCCCATCCAATTACTGAGAAATTAATTTTTATTGTCAATATCCTAACTGGGGGTAAGAGAGTATATGAATCACATACTATAGTGCTTGGCAGCAACTTGGTGGAGATGGAGTATTATGCTTCCATCACTTAAATGAAACTGTTGCGCTATGATACAAGAATCAATATTAATTTCAGTAAAGAACAGAGGCTTCAAAACAAAGCTGCCTATCTGCTCTCTCCGATTGGTTCTTTTTATAAAACGAAATAACACTCACTCAGCAGGAGAGAGAAAGCTTTTCACTTCCTTACAAAAAGGCATTTCTGTATGAAGGTAAAAATACAAATAAAAAAAGAAATAAAAAAATAAAACGGTGTGCTTTTCAATGCTAACAAGTGATCCCTTTTGTCAGGTTAAGAAAGATTCTTTTGTTCTGTTACAATGAAGCAGACATGCATTGTTTGCTTCTATTGAGTCAATTTATGTTGCAGTATGGTACAGTGATTTAATACAGTAATAGAGCTGTGAGGGAGTAATA